AGGTTCCTTTGTTCGGAGGCCAGCTTCACCCATCTGCCCGAGGACATTGAGAATGTACAGGCATGCCCTTTGACGGCTTCCTGTCTGAGCTGGAGTACAACTCTAAGGGTTACGTTTGGGACAGGGTTTAGGAAGTACGTTTTCAGAACTTCTTTGCCTTTTCGGACTCGAATACCTCCAGGAGTACTGGATTTGCCAATGTGACAGCAATCCGAAGACGAAGAAGATGACCGTCAAGGTGACGTTGGAGACGACCTTTCAGCAAAGCCTCAAGGAGGCGAAGGTGGCCCACATGGAGCGCAAGATCCGCCGCAAGCAGCAGCAGCTTCGGGTGCTGGAGCAGCGCTGCGAGGGCTTGAAAGAGGGCTATGCTGAGGGTGAGGGCATGAAGTTTCCATCAAGCAGTGCTTATCAGGGTCCCAATGACAGGGAGGCCTCGACATCATCGTCGGATGCCGAGTAGATGTGCAGCTGCGCATCCCAATTTTACATTTGATTTCTATGATGGGCTTTGTGGCGCATCCATCATTGAAGGGTCCGAGCATCCATCCCAGTGAGGGCTCAGGAACCATTGTACAAGGGGCTGTTGGAGCACGAGCGACTGGAACATGTCGCATTTTGCATTTCCTTCAGTCCTTGGTGAAGTACGCAGCCACGACCCGCCTGAGAAAGATAACGCAATATGTGCTTGCGCATCGGGTTCGCGTGGGTGAAACTGACTGATCAGGAACCTCGTCGACATATTATATCTTTCCGTTCACACCTTGTCTGATCTTGCAAAGCATGAGCCCTGAGAAAATGCACAACCTTCATACTAGGAGTATAGAGGAATGAGGGTGGTTAAATAGCAATCTGACTCTAGGCGTAGAAGGCCTACCTAGATACTGGAAAAGGCGGCGTGCTCCCTCGCCGCGACTACGTTTTGTCTGGGTTTTGAAGATGTAGGCCATACCCCCTCATCGCGGGTATCTGTTTTCTAGGTCGCCAAGTTGTAGGTCGCATGTCCCCTCGCCGCGATCTAGGTTTTAGGCGTCATGCCCCTCGCCGCAAATAGTACTTCGTATCTAGGTCCCAAAATCAGAAGCTCTCGCATAGTTCACATTCCATTTGCATCCGACGACAGACGAAATCAGTATGAGTGGGCTAGAAACTCAGGGTTCAGGTGTTAGTCCAAACAGTGTTTGGCCGCAAAGTGCCGACTGGGGTTATGGGAGATGTGTTTACTATGATCTAGGTTTCGGGGATGTGTATTGGGGGCAAGTTTTCAGCGGGTTGGTCGTTCAGAATAATCACACTGATAGCAAGCAATCTGCTGACATAGGGGCACGATAGCAGAGGTTCCAAGCCAATGCGTGTTTACATTGGTGCATTGTCAGCAACAACAATTGCTCAGCAGATTATCAAGTCCAATGAGTCAGGCTTCAGCAACAACAGCCAGTGTTCATGAGACTGGCCATTCTTAGATATTGGGCTCATCTGTCATATGTTCTTGATGCAGAAATTGTTCAACTGCTCATATCCGTTGGAAGCTCTTTGGCCGGGTGGGGTTCTGTCCTCCAATGGCAAGAAAGAGGAAACCGGGACGGATAAAGATAACGAGAGAGAGAGAGAGAGAGAGAGAGAGAGAGAGAGAGATAGAGACAAAGAGACAGGATACATATAGAGCCCTCAGGGGTGTGCTTCAACGCGGGGAGGGTGTTGTAGGAAGTAGCAGAGAAAGAGCGAGAGAGAGAGAGAGAGAGAGAGAGAGATAGAGAGAGAGAGAGAGAGAGAGAGAGAGAGAGAGAGAGGGGGGAAGGAGGGAGGGAGGGAGCAGAGCAGAGAGAAAGACCTGGGAAACAGAGAGTCATAGAGACTCATAGAAAGAGAAACACAGAAAGAGAGAGAGAGAGAGAGAGAGAGGGAGATGTGTATTTATTTATAGAGAGAGTTTCGCCAGAAAAAGACAACTAACAACTAACAGAGGAACCCTGACCTTACCTGCGGTGCCGAACCATGGCTTAGGTCCACCAAACCACACGGTGCGCTCACATGCACAGGCCCATTTGTTGGGGTTCCGGCGACACACAGACTAGCAGAGAGGAGCCCGAATAGTGAAGACAGTTAGCGGGACTGTCAGGTCAGGCCAACCTTAAGCGTCCCTTGGCAGGCCAAGGACGGGTAAGAGCAGCGATTTCCGACCCGTAGCGACACTTCGACAACATCATGATTCACGTAGTGGCACTTAAACACCCGCTACGTGTGAACAATCCGCTCCCTTAACTGTCCTTGGCCTGCCAAGGGACGCTTAAGAACACCAGCGACCGATGTCTTTCTTAACTGTCCTCAGCCATTTTGGCTCCCGTGGGTGCCCCTGCAGAAGGGCAGAGTCAGTGACGCTTAGTGGATGTGCAATTTCAACCATCAACTCACTCTCTACATCTCTCACTCTTGGTCGTAGGTGTGTTCGGTTGTTCCTCTTCTTGCAAAACCATGGCCCCAAAGTTGAAGGTGAAGAAGGGCAACAAAGCCCTCAAGAAACCGGCTGCAGCGCACAGTGTGGTCGTGTCTTCTGGACAAGGCTTCACTCCCATCTCTGAGCCGAAGACGACGCCGCTCGATCTTCAGGACTTCATCGGCGAGATGATGGGAGTGCTCGGTGTGGGCCCAGCACAAAGCCCAAGGACTTTTGCCATGGCAACAGCATGCTCAGGGTCGGGCGCGCCGACTTTGGTGTTGCAGAAGATGTTGCCTTTCATCAAGGAGATGATCGCCTGCGACTCGAGCCCGAAACTTGCCTGATTAGCCTGGCGGCACTTTGTTTGTTTCGTTATCAGTCAGCATTTCGCTTTGTTGGAGCCACCGCCACAGGAATGCAGCCCACTGCTGCTGTATCAATGTCCGCCAGACACCGGACCATTTTTTCACAGATGTTCTGGAGCTGGCAAGCTCGGGAAAAGACTACTGCCATATCCATCAGAAACGCTGCAGCATGCCACAGCCGGAACTGGAGCTTCTGGTGGCGGGGTATCCGTGTCAAAAGAACAGCCGCCTCAATCCGCAGCGCTTCAGCGAGGATCCAGCTGATAGTTATCAGGCCGACGTGCTCGTCGGCATCCTGGAGCTCGTGAAGAGGCTCCGGCCACGTTGCTTCGTACTCGAAAATGTGGCTGGTCTCAAAGCGGTAAGGAAACCTGACAAGGATGGCACCATGTTGGATTGGGTCAACGCAAAACTCAACGAGATCTTGCAGGGCTGCGACTATACATGGGAGCATTTCGACATCCAGGCTTACAGGCTGCGGCTTGTCTGAGCATCCGAGACATAGTACTCTTCTCCGTAGCACTTCCAAGTCCAAGTTGGTATATCATGATGGAAATACAAGCCGAGGCCAGCACCCCGTGCGCGTGTGTACACCATCGGTTGCTTGAAGGGGGCCGCCAACTTGGCCCAGATTGCTCAAGACATACTGAAATTGTGCCCAGGCTGAACTTAGTGCATCCATCGTCCCAAAATAAAAATAACAAAACTCGGACTGAGGCAGAGGCATCTCGAGGCCCGACCGACCACCCATCTGATCCATTCGTGCGTGCTGGAGGCGGACGAGGACACGGTCACCTCTAACAGGGCTGTTCCCACCCATCAAGTGGTCAGTGTGACCACCGCAAAACGTGCCTTGGACTGGTCATGCTGTCTTTTGTGTGAGGCACCATAAAAGCTTCTTCGTGATGTTTGGGAAGTTTGCAGGTGAGTCCGAGTACCAGAAGTGCTTGGCGAAAGCCTTGGAGGCTGCCGTGAATGCCAGGAGGTTGCCCAAGAACTTCGAAGTCACGGAGCACTTCTGCAACATGGCATCGAGCCCTTGGATGGATGCACAGCTGACTGTGTGCCTGGACTTAAACCCTAAATCCTGACAGTCAGATCCAAGTGTGTTTGCAGCACGGTTTGCTAGCGTTCCTTAGCTTAGTTAAAGAGGTACAATGCCATCGTCCACGAGCAGCTGCAGCACATCCATCTGGCGGGCGGCAACCTCCATCCTGCTGCGGATGCGGGGCAGAGCTGCGGCAGGGGGAATGTGGCCGTGAACGGCTCCATCCCTTCTGTCTGCACCTCTTCCCGCATCTATTCCTTCCATCTTGGGAGGAGCCTTGGCTATTTCTTTTAGGGTTTAGGCCTTGGGCTATTTTTTTTAGGGTTTAGGGTTTAGGGTTTAGGGTTAAGGGCTGGTGCCTCAGGTTCTTCAAGGCGGGGGAGCTCATGAATGCCCTGGGGTTCCCATCCTACATCACAGACGGGCTGACGGAGCCGCAGGCGATGGGCTTGATCGGCCAAGCGATGGCGAGCACGTCGTTGACGGTCGTTTCTAGGTAGGGCTTTGGGACATTTTATAGTTTCTCTTATTGGGCTTAAGAGGATATTTTTTCAATAAAAGCTCCACCTAGGTTTTGCTGCCGGTAGTGAGAGCCCTGGGGTTCACCTCTCCGGCCTGAGCCGCTCCGATCACCCATCCAGGGCGTGGTATGAAAACAGCTGCGTGTCCCATCCAGCGTTCGAGCAGTGCAGACTCCAGTCCAGCTGTCATTGTGCATGTCTGGAGCTTTTGCTTTCTGCTTGGAGGCTCCGAAGCCTGCGCGGGCCCGTGGCCCAGCCAGAGTGGAAGTGCATTTGGAAGGCGGTTTGGCGAAATAGGCTTTCTATGGACGATGTGATTGCTTCTGACAGGAACTAGTGAGCTTTCTGAAGCCACTTTCTGACCACATCCATCTGGAGTGTTAAGCTGCTGAGAACTGTGTTTTTCATCATTGGGAGTGCCTAATATCTGAAGCTCACTGCTGCAGGCCATGCCATTCCTCACTACAGTCGCGAGGACCGAGGACCGGGGTTTCTGAGCGCTGAACAGCAGACAGGGAGGAATCTGTACATGGAGCCAGACGGTGGCTTTGCAATTCAAGTATGATTTGAGTAGCAGTTTTGGCCTGAGCAGGGTTAGGCCTCGAGGCACGCCAGCAAGCCTCCCATCCATGCCCCCGGCGGTGAAGATGGAAGTGAAGATGGAACCGGAAGTGAAGACCGAAGTTGGCAGCCCATCTCGACGATGTCGTGTGAAGACCGAGCCTGCTGCGGTGGAGCAGTCAAAGCAGAAGAAGAAACAAGTTGGGAAGCCATCTGCTTGGGAGGTTCGTGTGGCCAAGATCAAGAAGCAGATTCGCGATGAAGTGCGCAAGGAGCTGAAAAATAGCTACTCGCGCAGATTGCGCAAATTCAAAGTGCAGCAGCTAGCTCGGCAAGTGGCACTGGAGAAACGAATGGATACTTTGTCCAATCGAGTCCAAAGCTTTCTGAGCAAGATGGAGGAGGAGTACTTCTTCGGAGAGGAGTTTAGTGCTTCATCTGACTCCGAGACCGCATCCGAAGAACAGGATCCAGATTACGCCGAGTTCATCGATGGCATTGCTGGACCGGAACAGGTCAAGGAGAACACCGCCCCCATCCCAAACGACAGCTTGCCTCATCCGCCTTTCGAGCAGCTTGACGACGCGTGAATTGCTTCGCAGTCCAGAGTCGGTGAGACTCAAATTGGGGGAATTGGGGTCTGCTTCCATCCATGAAGCATTGACCGTGTAAGTTTTGTTTCATACATCCAGGACTCACGGCCGTGCATCAAATGTGACTGTTTCCTTCGCATGCCCTGGTACCGTTTGCAGGCATGGTTACAGCATGCAGCACTCAAGCTCAGTCCTTGCTTCAACCAGGAAAGCTGGGCGCAGATGGACCGTTCACCCCTCGGGCAGGTTTTCGAAGTGTATTGGGATTCACACAGAACCTTGAATATTTATTCTGCAGAAGCATGCCTGACTCATGATGTCGTTTGCTACACCTTGCCCACGCTCGTAGGAGGTTCGTTGGCACAGTTTGCTGAACAACATCTGCCTCTGCCCTGAACAGAATCAGAACATAGGCCGAAGATCCTGGTCCAGGCTCTGAGCAAATATTAGCCAAGGCCCCATGTGTCGGTGAAACTTCATCGCACAGCATCTGAGCAACATCGTGTGCAGCCCGCCAGGTCCCTTCGGCACAGGCGGAGAGGCAAGCTCCAAATGCGAAATTCGATTACGGCTTCGGGGGTCAACGTCGGGGAATTAGGAAGCAGATGTCGGGTTTCTTCTTCCCTGTAAGATTACGGCTTCGGGGGGTCAATTGGTTGTGTTAAAGACGACGTAGGGAAAGACAGCTTTTGGGCTAGGCAGGAGTCCTAAATGCTTGCACTGTGGCAGACTGGAGGGCTGGCGTTTTCGGAGGGCGCGGTACACGAATCGGGGTTTCAGGGTGTGTTGGCTTGGGCGGATTCAGGTCCCGGGATGTGTAGCTTGCAAGGTAGGACCGAGTGTTGTCCAGGACATAATAAGCTGTGTTGGGGATTCTTCTTGCAGGGTTTTTTTTCCATCTCCACTTCCGGTCGACACTTCCTCTTCCCTGCTGAACGGCTCCTCCGGTTTCAGTGCTCCCGCTCCGGGCTTAACAATGCTCGTGCCAACGATCGCAGCTTCCAACTTGGGGGCAGGTCCCATCTTGGCCCGCTGCTGACTTCCTGCGTAAGGCAATGCGGCCACTGCAGTGCCACGCCCTATTAAGATAGCACTCCTAAAGTCCTAAAGTACTCAAAATGAGTTCCGCTTAGAGCCTTGCATGCTTATTTACAATGTGGCTGCTTGGGGTCTTAGCCTACTTCGCCTTGTCCTAGTGTCGATGTGACTTGAACCCGAGTGTTCCATCAGAGACAGCATGCCGTCATGCATGGCCGCCTCCTCACGCTCCCCATCCAGTGCAAGAGAACCCGATGATGTATAGTTAGCTTCAAGTGGCGTAGCAACATCGCTTTAAGCCACATCCGAACTGGAGATTCTTGCATTCTGTTCCCGGACACGATGATTCACCGGATCCACGATGCGGAACCTGCGCAGCCAAAATCCTGCTAAGGTAATGTATGCTCGATTCCCTTCCAGCCTACTCTGAGCTCAACTGTAACAGCGATGACATACATGGGGCTGAGTGCTTGCTCTGAGTCCCGCTTCAACTCGCCCTGACCAGCCCGAAGGTTGAAGCCCTGACAGCCTCGGAAAAGCCCTGCAAGCCGTGGACCTTGTCCAAGCCCCGAGGCGCGGACGCTGCACTGACGCCACAGTCATCTGGGCACGAGGAGAGCTGATTGGGGCTTCTGGTTGTGTTTCCCCATGTGCTTGAGCTGATGTGCGCTTTCTAGCTTTTGCTCTCCCATCAAGCTAGCAGCACCCTGGCGCAATGACAGCGACGAAGAAGCGTGCCGTTGGAAAGCAGGCAGAGCCACAGCCTGTCGGCACCATTGTGCCAGTGAACAACCCAACTTTGCTGAAGATTGCAGAAGGGATGAAGCTGCTGGTCTCATGTTCTTGTAGGTTTGCATTGACAGATGTGAGAAGCAATAGACCCATGATGTTTCAGCAAAGGCTCCCCCATGTCGTGGAATTCATGAAGAACATCAGCCCGGCAACACCAGCGGGAGGAATCCAGGAGTTCAGCCTGGACGATTACAGGGCGAGCATGAAAAGCGTGCAAAACTACACATGTGTGGTGCCTGTGACGGCGATTCCTCCTTATGCAACGGTGCACAGCGGCCTCATCCCCAGCCTCGCGTCCATCAAGAATGTCCAGGACACTTTCTGGTCAGAGGAAGGCCCGGGCGCATGTTTTGATGCAGTCAAGCATGATCGCTGTTTGTTTGGCGTCAGTTAAGACTTGAATTACCAAGGACAGCTGATGTTCTCAGAGAGCATCAGTGTGGTGGCTTGGAGCGCGAATGAGCGCCCGGGCGAGAAGGAGTTGGTTCCTTTGGACAAGGACAGCTACAGGATGGGGTTCTGGTTTTCGCTCTTCGAAGCGGAGTCGCCGAATCGCCTGGACGCCTTGAGATCCATCTCCGGCTCCATGCGTGTGACCTTCGTTCTGGTTAGTTCACGAGAAGACATGGAACGCAAGAGGTGGAAGCTCAGCTCTTCGAGCTCGGCTTTGGCCGAGAACATGGTTTTGCTTGGGTACAAAAGGCTCCTGGCCATTTATGACCTGAAAGAATCCTTGAAGAGCTGGGGGAAGGACGCCAGTGACCGCGCTGCTGCTTGCCATGAGTTCCATCCCGAACCCCTGTTGCCGCCATGATTGTTTCGAGAGATGTGTTTTTCTGGGGAACGTAAGGTTTCTGCCTGGCTGGAACGTGAGAAGATCTACATGAAGGAGAGCGTCATCGCATCCATCTGCAGGATTCGAAAAAGGATGGCCGAGGCCAAGGCCGACATTGTCATGGATCAGGTAGAAGAGATCTTGAAGGTTGTGGATCATCCGTTGGCCAAAACCGGCACTTTGGAGAAGCTGACCAGCATGACCAAGCTGGCCAACGCTCCCCTGCAGAACGAACTGCTGCTGTTTGTCGTGTCCGCACTCATGGTCCTCTTCAGGCGAGGGGCTGGGGTTGGATAAAGTTGGTAACGCTGCCATTATTGGCCATTGAATGCTGTGATCAGCCAGGTCCAAGACTCTCGGCCTGGAGGCGACTCGCGAGACGCTGGTGCAGCACGCTCGAGCGGCTCTGCTGGCCAGGAGGATCATCAACTACATGCTGATGAAGCTGAAGCCGCCCGGCCCCGCGGAGGAGAATCCCAGAAGCCCTGCCGGTTTCCACAAGAACTTCCTGTCCTTCGAGAACTTTGAGTCCAGTCGGTTGGCGGACGAGTGCTCCGATCACACGTGGCTGGCAGGGCTGTATGGCTACCAGCGCGAGGCCCTCCCACAGCTCAAGCAGTTCCTTGTGGGAGATTTGCAGATCTACAGCGTGCTCATCAAGCTGTGTGACAATGATCCCCTGGTTCCAGCCGAAGTTGCCCTACAGCAAACGTCTGTCATGAAGCTGGTGACTTTGAAGGAGCTCCTGGACATGCGTGAGCCACTTTGCTGTGCATGTGATCGATGCGCGAGTCCCTCCTCCTGACGTGTTCATGTGCAACTCAGGAAGGAGCTTCGCCCTCCAGAAGATGAGCCCGCGCCTCCATCTGAGCCTGCAGAGCCTGCGCCGGTGACCATCGAAGAGCCGGAGAAGAAGGCAGAGGAGGCAGGCATCATCCAGGAGCAAGAGGAGATTCCCCCCGCCGCTGAAGCTGCCCTTCAACATGCATGCATGCCCTTTGTTTCTGTTCCTGAGTCATGTCTCACTACGTCTGTGCAAGGTCATGGACGAGGAAGCGCGGGCTCCCATCCCTGAGCCAGACAATCGGGCCATGTTTCCATCGGTGATTGTCGCCGATTTCCAGTTGGACCTGCTGAAGCAGATGGAGGCCCCGACCTTGGCGAAGATGAAGACGTATGCGGACATGCGTCGGAAACTTAGCGCCCTCCAGACAGAGTGGAAGATATTCTGTGCCATGTGGCCAAGAGCACATACGTTTCTTGTCAGGCAGGGCCACCTATGTGAATCTCTCCATCGTCGGCAACAACATCACCTCCATCAAGGCGTCTGGGTTGTGCTTCGCCTTCTTTACTCACCACACATACATGGTTTCAACCACAACCCAGGGCGCGCTGATGGAGGCGGCGGCAGGCTGGCCGGCTGGGCGGCGGATTCTTGGCATTCTTCTGGTTGGCTCAAAGTTTAAATATTAGGAGGGGTTCAGAAGTTAGCCAAGGATCTTCCATCTTGACGGGAAGTGCTTTGGGGGGCTCAGTGCTAGCGCTGCAGCCCCCATGAACTTCTATCGCCAGTACTTGGCCTTCTTGTTCGACCCGGACAGCGGCGCCTTCAGAGAGGAGGACCTTCTCATCGTGTCGCCAGGGAACTCGCAAAAGGCCTACGAGGCGGCGAAGCGCGACTCTTTGCGTGCTTCTGAAGACTTTACCTTTTCCGGTTTTTTAAAGACTAGGAGGGGTTCAGAAGTCAGCAAAGGAGCTCTGGCGACATATGAAGGCGTCTCCCATCGTTTGTCAGCGGCGAGGCCTCCAGCAGATCCGGCTGATGAACACGAACAAGGAGTACCGCAACCCCCATCACCCTGTTGGCAAGCAGCGTCTTGGCCTTCTTCTGGTTGTCTCAGAGTCTCAGGACTTCAACTTCTTTGGCTTTCTATATGAGCTACAGGAAGGGTTCAGAGTCAGCCAAGGCGCCTTCGCGGCAGTTTCCCTGACCCGCTGGAAACAGTGTTGCTGCTGAAAGGCAAGCAATGCACGCTTCCATCCAGGGAAAGGAAGCACTTGGACTTGCCCGGCTGCAGCAAGGACAGTGGCATCGCCAACCTGTGCCTGGGCTGGTTTTGTTGTGTCGCATCTGTAGCGTGGATGTGTGGCACAGTTCAGCATATGCACTGTCATGGGATCGGTGAGCGAACGAGGCGCATGAAGACTGTGGACGAGATGGCGCTGCTGGTCCGCAAGTCCGTCTGGGAGGAGAACTTCTCCAAGGTGCTGGCGGCAAGCACTGATGAGGGCGGCGACGAGGAGGCCCAGGCCACTGATACCGCTGCAGAGCCCGTGCTGGAGGGACCGACCGAGGAGGTCGTGCAGTTTTGCCTTTTCGAGAGACCTGAGATGGTCTGCAGGGAATGGATCAATCTTTTTGGAGAGGAACGCTCACCGCACACTTCGGTGCAGAAGCAATCCTCCATCGTGATCGACTTCTCCCCGGGAGCTGGTTCCATGGCACTGGCTTGTGCCAGAGATTTACATGTCTACTATGGACTGCTCCTTAGCTGCAGCTTCTGTTCTACTCCAAGTCGTTGAAGACGATTTATCTTGGAGACTTCTGTTTGCCAGGTGCTTCACAGCGTCGCAGCGGGATGTGATCTTTGACTCCATCCGCCTGACAATCATGCTGGAGTTGATCATGAACAAAAGGAATGGGTTTTCTACAAGCCGCTTCCTTTCCAGGGAGCGCTCCCTGGGCGGAACCAGTGCAACGGCTTCCATGACTTCGCCGGCAGACACTGATTCCAAGGCACGGTCTTGGACAAACTGACCGTTGAATACTGCAAATGTCCCGTCCCAGGCCGCCGCTGACAAGTCGAGTCCAGCAAAGACTGAGAAGAGCAAGACTGAGAAGAAGCGCAAGACATCCTCATCTGATTCAGACTCTTTGTCAGAGACTGAGGATTAGGCTGAAGCAAAACCCTTCAGCCCCCAAAACCTGGATCATTGAAGAGATCCCAGGTGCTTTTTGAATCACTGGCAGCTGGCATGTGCCTAGCCTTCGCCAGCTTTTCCGCTTAGCAGACAGCACTTCACGGAACCATGCGCCTTATGTGACGTGTTGCCCGGAGGCTCCCAACGCCCCTTCATTGACGGAATATAAACTCGAAGTCCGTTTCAGGATCACTTGGTAATTCAAGGGGTGCTCCTGGCTTCACACAGATTTCTTTCGAGAGGCTCTGAGCTTCGAAAGCTTGGATGGATGTCTCCCTAGCTCTGGAGCAAAAATCAGAACATGAATGCCTTCTGAAGACAAGGTCTTGAAGCATGCCTGGCAAGATCGGTGGCAACACCTGCGACCACGACAGTGTTTCGCGTCCAGCCCGTTTGAAGGATCGAAGGCTGTTGGATGCTGTGCATAGGGCATAGGGATGCGAGCAGTGTGTGAAGCCATTGTGCACAAGTTCGGCCGCACATTGATGGAAGTGCCAGGCTCAATTGCGTGTCCTGTTGCTTTCCTCTGTGACGTTGGTGTAAAACTCGCACTTGCGCGTGGATCCTGAGGCACCGAACGTGGCAAGCTATGTTCCTGACACTGTGAACATCCCCCAAATGCTGGATCGCGAGGAGAAGTTGGGCATCAGTGTGACAGACATGTGGCTCAATCAATGCCGAACTTCTGAGATGGCTCGAGTCCGCTACGAGAACCAGCGGGTGCAGCTTGCACCCCCTCAAGGCGTTCAGCACATCCTCGTCGCAGCTGAGATCGCAAAGGAGCTGCTGGACTTGCCCGACTTGATAGCAAAGTCCCAGGCGAAATTCCTTGTCCTCCTCTGCAAGAATGAGTCCATTACTTCACCGTCGAAGCTTGCTGGGTTGACATTGAAAGCATCAAGACAGTTGACCTTTCACCACGTCCCTCGCGGCGGCTTCAAAAGTTTCATTCTTTATGCGTCCGACGAGCAGCAAGACGTGACGGAGCAAATGGCGATGTACGACGAGATGGTTAGCAAGATCCTGAAAGATTTGCCTCTGCAAAAGGACAGGCTTCTGTCGAGTAGGGGTTACAAGGAGCTGAAGTGTCATGCTGAAGGAGCTTCCAGGAAGCGCAAGCGGCCAGAGGCAAATGCAGCAGGCGCCGATGACATCGATATGAAGGACAGTGAAAACAAGAAGAAGAAGGACGACGGGAATGACGTGGAACAGGGTGACAGCAAGGATGAGGACGGTGTTGACAAGGAAAAGCAAGCCTTGGAGAAACTCATCGGCTCTGTTCTTCCTGCAACATGTCGGAATTTGCAAGTTTTTCTTGGGCGCTTAGTAAGGTAGTCTGGTTTGGAAAATTCGATATGTTTTAAGGGCAAAGTAAGGCAGACTTTCATCCATCCAAGAGAGCAAGTAAGTTGCTCCGCGAGCAGCCTACCACGGCACGCCTCAACGGCTATGTGATGATGGAAGCATTGCAGCAGGACACGTCTGCTGTTTTCATGGCCTCCAGTTCCAAGCTGCTGAAGACGAGACGCATGGTTATGGAATCCAAGGAGATCTCAAACGAGCTCAAGCTTCCATCCCTTGCTTGTTTTCAAGACAAGCATAAGCAAGTTAAGGTGCGAGAACTTTTGTTTGCAGATATGCTGAAGCTCAAACTGTGGCAGCCTGATTTCTTGAACGTTTCCTTTCTGAACCCTGGCCCAGCTCGCGCAGCAGTAAACCTGTTGCCGGCGAAGCCAGCAATGCTGGCAATCTTCATGTCGCTGCTAAGCACGCGTTCTGTGTACTGACCTGAAGTATCTGCCTCTGCAGCAGACTCAGCGGGATGATTTGAGGAACGGAGTGGCAGCGAGATAAAAGTGCTAACGAGTTTGCGGCAAGATACTCCATGCATTTGAGAGTCGCAGTCTTCCTCATGTGCGCCTGGGAAGGGTGAACCTATGCAGCAAGTTGCGCACATGCCCTCCTAGAGCTTGCAAGCTTGGTGTGAACATGCCGCACCCCGTCCGTACTTCAATCACGACCAGGACAGCTGGATGCAGCACAATGGCTTGGGCCTCAGTGACAACCAGTTAGGTCATGTATGTCCGGCAGCTCTGCTGGTGTGGTTCGGTTTTGAAGTTCATCTGGGTAAGTGCCAACTTGGTGTGCAGGTGGTTATTTCTTACGGAGATTGCCTTGTGGTAGCATTGACATTTCGCGTACAATCGCACAGGCTTTTCAGGGTTGAAGAAGGGCTTAGGGGTGTAGGTAACATGCACGATAGCCAGGGCGGCTGGGTCGGGGCGGTGAAGCCATCATTCACAATTCAATACTGAGCTCAGCTCCCAGATCCGGCTACGTACGAGCGTCGCACATGTATCCGAGGAAACCACGGCTCCGAAACAGCAGAACCTTCGGTGAGAACGTTCGAACGAATGCTTCAGCTTCACATACTAGCTTTCCCATGGAAGAAATAGGGTCTATTGGGTTCAGGGTAAAGGGTTTGCTGCAGAGTTCGCCAAGAGTGACAGTGAGCGACTGCCCTTGCAAGGCTCGGTGGTCTGCGGGTGACAAAGCCTGAAGCCCGGTGTTTGGGGCAGGTTGCCTTCGGTCTTTCCCTGACCCACCGGTCATAGTACATGGGGTGACTCGATAGGTGGCAGGCTTCTTCTAAAGGGATACTTGTTGCGGTACAAGCTTGCACATGACAACCGAATTAAATAAGAACGTCGGCGAATATCCGAACTCTTGGTTCAGCTCCCTGGGTTCATTCATTGCAACCCGGCACTTTGCAGTAGATTCCCGCTCGAGGCTGTAGAGGTTTGCTTCAGAAGAGTTCGGTTGAGCGAATTTCGGGGGAAATGCATCCCTGCCCAAACCCAAATCCGGCTTCAGGGCTCCCTCAGTGTAGGCTCCGGGCAGAAGACACACACATGCCGTGATGCTCACATGCCTTTCTTCGATCGCATGAGCAGCTGAAATGTCGCGCTTGCAGTGGTGCCAGCAAGGGAAGCCACCTAGAAGAAGTTTTGTAGAGACCATTCCATCAGAGATTTGTTGACTGAAGACTGTGTTTGTGTGCTACAGTGTGTTTGTAAGTAGAGTTCCATGGCACAGACAAGGTCATCATAAAACTGGACAGATAATTTTTTTATATTATCAGATAGTACTAGGCATGGCTGCCGGTGCCCGGGACGACGAGAGGTTACTTGTAGACTTGGGGAGGCCGCAACCTGCAATCTGGGCTGCTGACCACGGGCTTACTCTTGCAGTATCTTAGTTCTTGGAGCAAGGCTGTTTTTGAATTTATTTGCTGGTCGAAATTGGGTAGAGTTGAACAGCATGGTACTGCTTTCAGGTAGCAGCTCCCAAACCTGCGAATGCAGCGGGTGAGAGACAAGACAGCGACGCGGATCATTGGCGAAGTTGCCAGACCCAGAGTTCTTGCTGTAGATGCGCTTTCGAAGCAGGCATGGCAGGAATGCTGCGGAAAGGAGCTGCGAGCTTTGGGGAGCCAAGGGCGATAAACAGTTGGGCAGAGCGGTTCACATTCATCCATCCGACCGCCGGTCGCAAGACCTGGCTAGTGGCGAGGCCTTCATCATGGGGCGCTTCGTTTGCCATGGGCTGCTGGGTCTGCTGTCATTTCGAACCTCCAAAATACCGATCAACCTTCGGGCGGCTCGAAGTTGCTTCAAGGACCTTTGCCATGCATCAAGAAAGTTTTCTCGTAGCAGTATGGCCTATATGTTTGGATGGACTTCGGTGAACAAAGGAATACACTTGGACCATCTTCGTTTGCAAAGCATGAAGCCAGTGCGTCACATCTGAAAGCATTGGAGGCAATGAAAAATCACTTCAGCGGCGAGCCCGCTGATGAGGGACTGCTTACTGGAGTTTCGGAAGCTGTGCCCCGCATCGACAGGTTCTTCATGGCAGGGCTCGTCGTGGCACGCCATGACTCTTTTGCCGATTACACTGAGTACATGAGATCTTTGCGCTTGGTTTCCCCCTTGCCGATGGGAGAACAGGCTGGCGACATCAGCAAACAGACCTGTGCAAGGTTGGTGGTATCGATGGCGCGACCTTTGTACGATCACGACGTTGCTGTGCTGAGAAAGTCGACCATGGCGTCCATAGCCTATGACGTCAGGGACGACCTGATGTTAGTCATAGGAAGAGTGTTCTTTGAAGGATTGAATAGTCCCCATCTTCCGCGTGTTGGGGTGTACGAGTTCCTGGTCGGTTGTCAGCGCGTGGGCGGGACTGGTGGATCTCGTGGAAGCGCGGCATCAGTGGAAAGAATCTGCAAGGACCTTTGCCGAACACCTCATGGCAGGGAGCTACGCTTGGATGAAGATCTTTGGGCACACTTTCAGGCAGGAGGGAATCAAACGCACGCAGACGATCCAGTCAAATGTAGCAGGTATCAACATTATAGAATCTAAGAAGGCAGACTTCATTAAGGAGCGTTTGCTGGTACTTTGGCAGGCGATTGTCACAAGTGGAGTCTCCGACGGAGGCCCCAGCGAGCAGGGAGCACTACCCATCTTGCAGAGCCTCGGTTTTGCGTTCTTGGGCACTTGCCTATCCAAGTTGTAGATCAGATGACCGACTTCTTGAACCCAAACTAAAAGCACCCGCTCTGGCCAGGAACGAAGTCTTCAGCAACATGAACCTCATCTCCCGGGATCGGGCTCACCGGTCCAGGAGCGTCATAAAGAATTTGTTCGACGCCCTCAACAGCTTGTGTGACAATCTTTTGTCTGCCTTTACAACGGGCGAGCAATCCTTGGCGAGGATGTTGAAGAGCCTAGCTTGCAGCTAGCATACTGTAGTATGCCATGCAAGCCTCCC